CATCCGGCTGTCTGTGAGAGGTCGAGTGTGCGCTGCAGCAGTTCAACCAGTCCTGCTCTACGGCACAGTGACTTGGCCACTTCAAAAACAGGATAAAGGNGATAAAGGTAAACTGTCGGTGTTCGAACACCGCGGTCTACGTTGTCTTACACGAGTCTTGTGGGGAAACCGTACAAGGGATACTGAAGTTATGCGCAGTTTTAGGTAATTGCCGTCGTCCTCTGGGGCAAGCGGTCGGCCTCCATTGACTGCGCTGGTTGGGGCATTCGCTGCGCATGTCAACAATTAGATTGCCACGTGCGTACTGTTCTCTGGGACAAATGTTAGGCAAAAAGGGGTGGTGGTCAAACTCAGACCTGTAATGAGGGTATGGAGACCCTTGCCACGGGACTTGCGCACATGGACCGCGTTACTCTTCCTGGATTGGGGCCTCAGCACCATCGTAATCGGTACTTAGAGACACTGAGTGGGGTGCTTGTAACCTTAGTCCATCTGAGTTTTCTATCTTTGACTCTTCTGCTTTTTCATCCAGATGGGCGGCAATGAAACCGACCAAAGCCGGCTCACAATAGTGCATGATTAATGAGTGTGAAGACTGAAACATGGAGATCAACAGGTGACGTGAAAATGAGGCATAAGGAAATGCACGGAACGGTTAGGTAGAGTAGGTGTCTCGTACCTTCCAAGTTGATTTTCAAAAAACTCCACCACTGGTTGGTTGAAGACACTGAAGTATATAGCAACCTCCCGACAGCAGTGGCGTTGTTGTCAGGTCAGACTACTTAAAACTATCTATCAGTGCACAGTTAGGTTGTGCTGTGTGTGGACCATGGAGGTTCATTTTCTTTGACTCTAATTAGGCCCAACCCCTATCCACCATGTACTTCCTCACTTACTTTTCGTACTTTATGAGCTTGGCAGCAGTCGGTAAAGTTTGCTTCACTGAATCTAGCTTTACGACGGTAATGATGATGACCTGGACGACAGCACAACCGTCGGAGAAGCTCTCAGCACGCGTTGTTCTTTTAGCTGCTTAGTGGTTGGAACTGGAGGCCAGTCGGACTTATTCGCTTCAAGTATTCCTAACTAACTACTGGAGGATGAGTTGATTTACTTATAAGGCAGTGAACAAGGCTTCATCAGTGGAGGCTATTTTAGGCGCTTGGTCGTATAGGGGCATTTCGCAAGGTGCAAGGTTGCCACAATCGGAGACACCCCCTAATCACCATGTGCTTTTTGGATTCTAATGGTCCGGGTCAGCCTGATCGAAGTGGCAAATTGATATAACTGGGTCATGAAAAACTAATGAAACATCTGCTCTTCATGCTCGTCACCACTCGTCTTATTCTGGTTTACCAAAAAGAGTTACCGTGCTTGTGTGTATAGTTCACACGGTTTTTACCGTCTGCTCAGAACATTGTACCAGTACCTTGATTGTAATAAAGTCGGTCCATTGTTTGTGGGTACAGTAATGCAGTTTAACCCGTCAAGACCCATGACTCTCGAGTACTTGGTTGGTCTAAATACCGAAAGGACGGCGGATACACGTAAAAACCGCAGTTTATTGAGATCCCTGTGTGCACTTACTGAAGGTGCAATATGTCCAGGGTATCCATTAGAGTCGGTAATTTTGAATCCTGCAGAATCCTGTAGCTTTTTTCCTAACATCTGCATGTTTAAGGTCAAGGTTTCCTCGTTCCCCTGAATTAGCTTGCTTTTCGTGTCTAATGAAGCAGCACATTAACATTTCATCCCTCTTCACTTTTATGAAAACACCCTCGCAGTATGAAAGCAGATTTGGTATACACTTCCTGAAAATACAAAACCAAAGCCTCAGTCACTCTGAGAATTCAGAGGCTTATGAGGATGAGTAAACAACAATGTGAGCGGCATTGATGTTTCAGCTTGAAACTGCCATCCGAATTATCCCCGTTTCGGTTTCAGTTTAAAGGGCTATGTGCTTTCTGCTTTGGGCTACTCATTCGAATGAATTAGATGTTTAGTTCAATGTTGTCTGAGTAATCCAGATTAGATAACTGGCCACCGTGGTTCGTAGTGTTCTGCTCTACGAGGCCTGGCCCCTCCGCATTGAGGGTGCCTAGCGACTTTCTTTTTTTCGCCACGGATGTCTGAATCATGACACGTGTCGGGTGGGAACATCGAGTGAGCAATGATGACATTGGTCGTTGTTTATTGGGTGTGAATAAAGTTATGATGCGAGTAATCGTTCTACACCACCTTCCATGGCTGGGTCACGTTTTGCATATACCTGCCCATCGTATACCTTTCCGTGCTCTCTCTGCGCGTGCTAAACAAGCCTAGGAGAAGCACCGCGGCAGTCAAACCATGACATTGGGTAGAGGTATGAAGTGATTAGCTTCAGCTTTCGCTCCAAAGTTAGTGCAGCCCGCCTTCCATGTTGCGACCCAAGTGATGAGGATTGCCGCTGATTGGAGACGCTAAAAGACGTGCCGGAACCGAAGTCTGTGACGCGGATGCTGTCCGGTCTGCCTGTTGAAATCCCGTGTCCCCGTAAACCAAAATAAACTAACAAAAAATATCCCAAAGTGTACGGCGAAACAAACAAAAATGTTGATCTTGTTATCCACCATAACCATCTGACCCCCATGCCACTGTTTTGTATCCCAACCTGTTTCGTTCTGTTAATTTTGCATTGGTACCGCATATTTATTGTCGCTATTACACATACGAATAGAAAGAGAGAAACCACGAAGAACCGATTTCTATTGTGAGCTTGGGCGAAAAAGAGCTTGGATATGACCTCGGCTATCAGTACGAGCGGGGAGACAAACCTCTTTTTGTTGGTACGCAGCGAGCAATTCCGAATTTTTCGTCCTTTTTGGATTTCACAACTTACGACGTTTGATTCCCATGTCTTGATTTCACTTCTTTCGTCGCCACATTGCCAGCTACTTCGGCCTGATTTACTTGATGCACGTTGAGTACTCAACAGATTGTGCTTGAAAGCAGTAGTGTACACGACGCGTTCGTGGTACCACGAATTGTTTGGTGTAAAACTGTTTTTTTTATTGTATCGCTTGTTTCGGCTTTGGTTGTTACCTTTCGGACAGTAACGGTACTTTCTTTATGGTTAAGATGAGCCTTGTAGGCTAGCGGTCCCCGTAATAGATATTCGTCGCTTTCGGATCCTTCAACCGCTCATCGCAGTGTGATAAAACAGTCCTCAGTGCAGTGAGTGGTCAGATTGACGAGCTACGCCGTCACTCTTCGGGTACGGCTCTTCGTTTGAAGGGATCAATGGCCAATTTGAGGTTATTACAGGCGAATCGCTGCCCCCAGCATCATGAAAATGCCAGTGACAATTGATTAACACTTGTGTGTGTTCAATTTGTTGTTTGACAGACTGAAATCTTATTTTGAGATTGAAAAGTTCAGTGGACTCGTAGCTCAGCGGGTACAGCATGCGCTTACAAAAGTTTAGGTGGCGTCCATGCGTGTGTTCGAATCCCAGTATCTATTGAACTTGTCAATTTCAACATAACGTTTTTATGCGAAATACCACATTTGGACGTAAGCTTTTATCGAACCTGGTGACCGCTTTTTCATTTAGATTATGAAAGAACTAAATAATCATTGGTCACTTTGTGTATCACCCCAGCGATGTGCAAAGGGATTTGATTTGTTAGACAATGCATGTTGTTTATATGGGTTTTGACGTTTCTAGTTAATCAGGTGCAGCTCATATACGTCAAGTTGAACGATCATTCAACGGTAGCGCACCATAGGCGACGGCTTGTTTTTCGAAAACTTGGGATCCAAGAGAATTGGTTTCCAGAAGCGGTAGTTGTTCGAACAGTAAAAAATGTATTGAGTCTGTTTATATTTG